TCCACTACGACAGCATTCTCGTCATTGTAGACCGACTCACAAAGTACGCCTACTTCATCCCGTACAAGGAATCAAGCAACGCCGAAGAATTCGCCTACACTTTCCTCAAATACATCATTGCCAATCATGGAACACCCAAGAAAATAGTGTCAGACAGGGACAAAATCTTTACCTCCAAATTTTGGAAATCAATCACAGCACAACTCGGCATCAAACAAGCAATGTCCACTGCATTTCACCCGCAGACCGACGGACAAACGGAACGAATCAATCAAATCCTCGAAACCTACCTCCGCGCATATGTCAATTACAATCAAGACAATTGGGTCGTATTGCTACCAATCGCCCAGTTCGCCTATAACAGCGCAGTAGGGGAAAGCACCAAGGAATCCCCCTTCTACCTCAACTACGGATTCGAACCAACGGCCTATGGAGAACCAAGAGCAGGCCCCGAAGCAGTAAAAGCTGTGGCCTCGGTTCAACAAATCAAGGATGTCCAAGCCAATGCAAGAAAAGAACTCGAATTCGTACGCAAACGAATGACACACTTCAGCAACCAACGAAGGATTGAGGGACCAACCTTGAGAGAGGGAGATAGCGCCTATCTCATACGGCGAAACATCAAAACCAAACGACCAAATGACAAACTCGACTACAAAAAACTCGGACCTTTCAAAGTTCTCAAACAAATTTCACCAGTCAACTTCAAACTCGACTTACCGGAAACCATGAAATGTCACCCAGTTTTCCACATTTCACTCCTAGAACCGGCACCACGAGGATCACGGACAAGAGACATCATCATCGTGGAAGACAACGAACCGGAATACGAAGTCGAAAAAATACTTGACCACCGATACGGAGACAACAAATGGGAATACCTCATCAAATGGAAAGACTACGGTCACGAAGACAACACATGGGAACCTGATAACAACCTGATCCACTGCCGCGAGAAAATCCGAGAATACATCAGAACACTAGAAAACGTCGACCCAAGAGACAGACCAGGCATTCCCTTGACCGACCAAGAATGGACAGAACGCATGAAGGAACGAGACAAAGAAAGCGAGCGAATAAACAAGGAACTCAAACAACAATGGAGAGAAGCACGAAAACGAGGGATACGACTACCACTACCATGGGCACAACCAGGATATCCTCGGCCAGCTCAACAAGGAAAACCGTCTATCCGCCTGGGAACACCAGAAACAGACTAAGACGACACCGAAGCACCACCAGCATCAGGCACTAAAGGACCCAGATCGACAAAGTCCAGACCTAAGCCAAACTCTTGCCACGCTGGATCGCTTGGTACCCCAGCGGCTTGAAGGTCGTTCACTACCCACTTCTCGTGAGCGTCCAACGCTGGAAGTACACCATCCTCCTCGTCGATCTCCTGCATCCCCCGCTCAAAGGCCTCGGCCTGACGCTCTCTCACCAACTTCCTCGTCGTACGAATACGACTCAAGCGACTAGCAGCCTCCGCCATTTGAGTCTGCAAGCGAGCAAACTCCTGGTGAAGTGCAAGCAGTTCCTCACCAGCTTTCTCTTCTTTCTCATCCCACTCTTTTTGTTGCTTATTCAACTTTTGCACTGCAACACGGTTAGTCATCGCTCGGACAAATCAGGATCAGGAATCACCGTACGAGTCGAAGCCACCAGAACGCCATCACAAGGCTTCTTCGCTTCAATGCACGTACGACACCTAGACGATTTCTCACCAAAACGGCAAGGAACCCTCGCCCGAAAACAGCGGGTACAAGGCATGTCGCTAGCCAGAGAACGAGACTCGACGTATTCAATCAAAGCTTCACGTTCACGATCCTTGAGCTCGGTGACGACCGATTTCTTTTTCGACTTTTGAACGCGACCTGACATGGTGTCAGCATCATGAGTAAATCAGGAAGCACGATTGACGGATCCCCAACCTGGGACCAACGGCCTACTTATGCTAGGTCTTGAGGACAAGACCCTTGGAGAGGGGACCTGATGTTACGACCCGTTATGCATGGATAACAGTTAACCGACCCACTTGGGCGTCGGGCGGCTAGGACAGGACATTTGTACTGCAGGATCACGGGAACAACAGGGACTCACTCGGAACGGAAGAACTATAGTACAAGTCACGTG